CCCGGGCATCCTGGACTCCTTGAACCTCAGCTCCGTCCGGGTAAGTGGCGGCTCCCTGAGGGCTGCAGCACACAGCAAAAGAATCAGGAAATATGAGCCCCTGTTTCGTGCCTACCAGACGGGCTTTAGTTTATGAATGCTCTTAGTTTTAGGAACAATTTTCAAAATGTAACCTTTTTAGTTGGTAGTAGCAAAAACGACCAAGTCTTGTTATCCTTAAACATTATGCGTAAGTTACTCTGATAGTTTCAATGAGTATTTCCCCTGCCTCTTAAATTTGTCTGTAATCAATCCATTCTAATTCTTTTCTGTCTGATTAAAATAATTCACCTGAAAAGGAAGCTAGACATTTTATAAAATTAACCATCTTTGAAAATCCAACAAGGGAGTTGTTTATATTAACAAACTGAAAGTTGTTACATTTGATGGCATTTCCTCTAAATATGTTCATAATGCATTGGAAAAACTTCTTAAGAATGATTATACAGGGTGTTTCATAAAGTGCGCAGTTTTTGAATTGCGCAGTATTTTTTTGTTTGAAGATTGTCAGCACTGTTCCTATCATTTTCATTATCTATTATCACTCCAATTAGAAGGCCATTTGTTGTTTTTCCATTTAGTAGCCATGGAGCGGTTCAGTATCGAGCAACGCATTCTTATTGTGAAAACTCATTACAAAAACGGGGAGTGCTACACAGAGACTGTCCGTAAACTTCGCGCCATCTTTGGACGTGACAGTGCCCCTACCGCAACAACAGTTTCGAGGTTAGTACAGAAATTTGAAGAATCTGGGTCAGTTGCAACCAGAAAATCGCCTGGTCAGAACTGTACAGGTAATCGGCAAAATCGACAGGGACGTCTGCAAAAGAGTTATCATTAATTTCAATGATCAGATGACTGCCTGCAGAGAAAGTGGAGGTGGACATATGCTCGATATCATTTTTCATTATTAAATCGAAGTATATGTTGAATGAAATTAAATAAAAAATTGAATTTTGCCTCGATTTTGGCTGATTTATTGCATTTTTAAAAACTGCGTACTTTATGAAACACCCTGTACTTCTTTTTAATATATTTTTCATTCTGTCTTTTAAACCTTTGGAAACAGTAAGATATATCTTAGGAAATAACATGTGTAAAATTATCTTCTTTTTCTGCTGTCTACCCTCTACTTTTCAGGTAGCCTATTTCACGTCACTGTGCAGACAGAAAGAGTTTGAAAAAGTTGTCAAGGATGTGATCCCACTTGTATCTGTCACATATTTTTTAACAATATTCTTTGCAATTATATCATGTTCAAGGTAATTCCCACCCCCTTATTTCATGGGAGAGGGAAGGGGATTTAATCTTTTTATCATGCAGTTGTATGTTTTCTCATTAGTTACCAAATGTGCACTAATTTAAAAAAAACCACAGTAAAAAACAAGACAGAATTCATAACTTACCAACCAACCATAGGGCAGAAATCAATGGCATGCTTATACCAGTGATGGCGAACCCTTTAGAGATCGAGTGCCCAAACCCACCCAAAACGCACTTACTTAGTGGAAAGTGTCAACACTTCAATAAAATCTAAAAGCTGAGATTTTAGTTTAGAAAAAACAACTCACAGCCAGTGCAAGCAAATATATATGCGTGCGTGTGTATGTGTTTGGCAGTGCGCTGACCGGTCATGCAAAAGCTTGGGCGAGTTGTGGGTAATGAGTCGTGGCTCATGATGTCATTGCCTGGCGCTGCTACTCCTTTCTGAGCATGTGTATGGCCTCTATATGCAATGTTCTCTGATGCTTGGCTGCTGGGGCAATGCAGAGGTCACTTGCCTCGCATGCTGAGAGGGCTCTGCAGTCCTGCTGCGGCACATGTGCCATGGGTTCACCACCACTGCCCTGACCCTACCCTGGTGCAATCCCCTAACCCTAAAGTAGAGATACAGTTCCATTGAAAAGAGGGCGCTTTAGAAAAAGCTTTCCCTGAGTAGCTTTTCTGCACAGCTGAACATTTCTGCCCATTCTAAACGCACTCCAACCATCAAAATCATGCCAGGACACCTCATTTTTCCAACCCTAACCCTACCCTGGTGCACACCCCTAACCCTAATATAGGGCGAAAGTTCCATTGAAACGAGGGCAATTTTGAAAAAGCTTTCCCTGAGTAGCTTTTCTGCACAGCTCAACATTTCTGCCCATTCTAAATGCACTTCAACCATCAAAATCATGCCAGGACACATCATTTTTGTAACCCTAACCCTACCCTGGTGCACACCCCTAACCCTAAAATAGAGATATACTTCCATTGAAAAGAGGGCGACTTTGAAAAAGCTTTCTTTGAGTAGCTTTTCTACACAGCTCAAAATTTCTGCCCATTCTAAACACACTTCATCAAAATCATGCCAGGACACCTCGTTTTTCCAACCCTAACCCTACCCTGGTGCACACCCCTAACCCTAATATAGAGATACAGTTCCATTGAAAAGAGTGTAATTTTGAAAAAGCCTTCCTTGAGTAGCTTTTTCAGCGCAGCTCATCACTTCTGCCCATTCTAAACACATTCCAACCATCAAAATCATGCCAGGACACCTCCTTTTTGCAACCCTAACCCTACCCTGGTGCACCTTAACCCAATATCGCCCTCTTTATTCTGTTTTACAGGCTAGATTGTGTACGGACGAAAGTGTGGGTTGCAGCTTTTGGAGTGCTATCTTCAGGCTTATCAGTTGCCAGCAGCTTTGGACTGCTACTGTTTTGGGGAGTGCCCTTTGTTATCACAGCTGCCAATTCACCATTTCTTATTCTTGGTAAGTGGATAAGGCAAACATGTTCCATTCCTTATCAGAGTTTCATGATTAGACATTCATGATTCAGAGATAAATGCCACCATTCTTAACTTGATAATAATGCTAGATTTCCCCTTGCTAGTTTCCCAAGGCAATCCTTCTTCATGTTTGTTCCTTTCCAGAGATGCATGGTTTTCAAGAACACAACCTACTTTTTTCATTTTTTACCCATCAGTGGTAGGCTAGTATTTGTATTTTTCCATGTGCACATTTTTTTATCGTTCTGCTTCTCAGCCAGCTATTTCCCTCTTTCATCAATCACTTTCCTCCAGTCATTTAACTAAAGCAAAATTGAGGACTTTTTCACCTCCCAGTTTTTAACAGTTGAAAATGCAGATCCATTCTGTATCACTGATCAGACTGATTAATTAGAGTTCTTCAGATCATTTCTCAGTTATTTTTGGACACAGCTGTGCAAAACTAAGTAGAAAATATATCCACCCTGTGTGGGATGAAAGATAGGTGCATTTATTCTTTACCATACCGCTTCAAAAATTTGAGTTTGCAAATCTAGACTCAAATTCTTGCTCATTCAGAAGTGAAGTGTAGATCAAAATGCAAATTTGCATACTTCAACTTAGTGAGAAATGTGTGTACTTTGTACTTGGTTATGCAGTCAACACTCTGTCTTTAGTTATTTAGGACACAGTGCCCTCTATAGGTGGTTTGCAATACAAAACATACTGATGAAATTAAACACCTCAGCAGCAGCTAATAGTTTATTTTTAAAAGAGTACAATTACAAAAATTTATACAAGGAAACAACAGAAATTGCACTAAAAAGACAGGCACAGAGAGAGAGAAATAAAAACCAAAAAAAGGATTTAGAAAATCTCAGTGCACCCCTCCACCAGGACCATGGCTGTACAGTATCTTTTTTCCTTCATTTTTCCAGGAATATTCCCCTTTTCAGGAATATTCCCTTCCATCCAAAATTCCATTGCATCCATTGAAGGTTTAACACTCTCCCCACTTATTAATGCATACTTAATAAACAAACCCCATATATTATTAAAATCCTTCTTCTTTAACAGTCCTTTTTTCACCCTAATCCCACATGTCAATTTATCATTAACAGCTATATTCCAGACTTCCATTCAGTTAACTGAAGCTCCTGTTCTCCTTCCAATTCTTTGCTATTATCACTTTTTCTTCTGTTACCAAATTTATTATTCTTTAATATTCCTTTTCTATTTATTTTCACAAAATATCAACAATAAGGCTATTAAAAGTTTTCAACCACCAAATGAAGCCTAGAGCAAGACATGCATATCTACCTGTGAAGGGAATTCCAAAGGTGTGGGGCTTCCACTGAGAAAGCCCTAACCCTAGCACTTGTCAGTCTACGTCCTCTTGCAAATGGACTAGAAAGTACTTAATTCTGTCAAATACTTATCTAAAGCTCAAGCTGTCTAATCTTTAAGCCAACAATAAGAAGGAAATACTTCAACAACAACAGCCCCCAGAGTATGTATGGTCTGAACGCATATAAAGCAGCCACCCATTTGAAGCTGAGCAAGACTAGGGCTGGCCTGAGCTTGGAAAGGAGGCCAGGTAGTCAACTTGAGTTCCACAATGGGAGAAAGGTGAGGATATAGAAAAGTTGAACAGAAGCAAGCAACTGGCTGAAGATTGCCGTATGTTGACTTCTCCAGAATGCTGTTTATTCTCCAAACTCTATTACATTAGATAGTAATTTTACTTGTTCATGATTCCCTTTCCCTTCCTTATGTTGCATGGGGAAACTGACACATTTATCTCTTAGCTACTGCTCTTCTTCAGGAGTTGGTGTTGATGACATGTTCATCCTGGTGTCCTGCTGGCAGCATACAAAAGTGAAGAACAAAGTTGAAGATCGCATGAGTGAAGCCTATGCAGAGGCAGCTGTCTCAGTAACTATCACCACGCTTACTGACGTTTTAGCCTTCTACATCGGAATTGCAACATCCTTCCCATCAGTCCAGTCATTTTGCCTTTACACAGGAACAGCCTTCATCTTCTGCTACATATACAACCTGACATTTCTTGGGGCTGTTCTTGCTCTGAATGGTAGAAGAGAAGAAAGCAACAGGCACTGGCTCACATTCAGGAAAGTGAAACAAGGTCCTCAGGATTCCCAAGGCTGCATGTATAATTGGTGCTGTGCAGGCGGATCTTATGATGAGTCTACTGGGACAGAACCTGAGCATCCCATGAATGAGCTGTTTAGAAAGCATTACGGTCCCTTCCTTATGCACAAGTGGACTAAGGTATTTGTTTTAGTCTTTTATCTCATGTATCTGAGCAGTAGTATTTATGGGTGCACTCTAGTTAAAGAAGGTATAAATGTGCGACATTTAGCTACAGATAATTCTTACGTTATTCAGTATTATGACTGGGATGATGAATATTTTTCTGAGTATGGTCCAAGGATTATGGTTGCTGTTACTGAAAGTGTGGCGTATTGGAATTCTTCTGTTCGTCAAGATCTTGAGAACTGCATGGTGTTATTAGAAGACTCATTATATGTAGACAAGAGTTTATCTATGTCATGGTTGAGAAATTATGAAGCTTTTGCCAAACGCACATCTTTAAATATAGATGACCGTAGTGTATTCCTTGGAAATTTAGCCACCTTGTTTACAGCAAATCCAGAATCTGCATTGGATATCAATTTCAGTGATACAGAAATATCAACCTCACGGTTTTTCATACAGACAATAAATGTTAGTACTGCTGTCGATGAGAAAAATCTCTTAAATCAACTGAGAGGCATTGTTGAAGATTGCAATATCTTGATGGTTTATCACCCAGCTTTTATATTTTTTGATCAGTTCCTTGTGATAGTCCATAACACAGTTCAGAATGTTGTGATTGCTACCACAGTCATGTTAGTTATTTCCTTGCTGCTTATCCCAAACCCTCTCTGTTCTTTGTGGGTAACTTTTGCCATTGCATCTGTTATTGTGGGTGTAACTGGCTTCATGGCCTATTGGGATATCAATCTTGACTCCATATCCATGATCAACCTGGTAATTTGTATAGGGTTTTCAGTAGATTACTCTGCTCATATTTCATACGCCTTTGTTTCCAGTGAGAAACCCAAAGTGAATGAGAAGGCAGTGGATGCTCTCTATCGCCTTGGTTACCCGATACTTCAGGCTGCTGCTTCCACCCTTGTGGGAGTCCTTGTTCTGTCAACATCATCCACTTATATCTTTAGAACCTTTTTTAAAATAATAACTCTTGTGATCCTGTTTGGGGCTGCTCATGGTCTCATTTTTATTCCTGTGCTATTAACCTTTTTTGGCTTTTGTGGATTATTGTCAAATAGAAGGTGCCAAAACAGTGACCAGTGCTTTGAAAAATCACCCAATATTGAAGGATCTCAGACTAACTATCCATGAAGGCTTTCCATTAAGAAATACTTGTGTGAGCAAAACCAGATGAGAAATTCCCCTCTTCTTGCAGTGGGTTTGGGTACATTCCAGAGCAGATTTTCAGGAGAGGTGAAGATTTACAGGGAAGAGGAGAAAGGGTTACATACCCATTGTGCCTGATAGTCCTGGAACATTTTTTTCCACCTTCAGGTTCTACTTGGAAACATTAAATAATTCATACTCTTATTCATTAAATAAGATGGAAATGTAAACCACTGCTCCCTTAACTTCCAGAAGTTTGGCCTTATGGTTTTGTAACATGCTAATGAGAAGGAGTAAGTTCAGTTTGGCCTTCAGCAGGCAGCCATCTAAGCAACCTTTCCTCTGTAATGCAAGTGTAGTTTTTGATAGAGAAAGCCTGTTTATAGTTAGTACATGTTCCATGTACGTCTTCATAGGATGGGCTATCCCACAGTCATGTACGTGGACATGAAGATGGTTTGGATGCCTGGTTGAAGCCATTTTTTAAAAACATGCTGTGTTGTTGTTTGCCTTGAAATCTTAGCAGAGGCAGCTGGCTGATCCTCCTGTGTATCTGGATCCCTCCCAGCTGCCACTAAGGGCCAGGAGTATGACAGCTGCCATATAAACTTGGGAGAAGGGAACATGGTGCAGAAAAGGCTAGTTGGCAGTGGTGGTAGCCTGAACCCCCCTATACAAGGTAAATCAAGTCCAGCTCCAAATTGTAATAGGTCTGGCCACACTTTGTATAAAGTCAAGGCTCTTTAAAAGTTTGGCAGGAAACCCCAAAAAGTATAATTTTAGGAAAATAATTCCAATATAAATAAAGGCTGAATGTCAGCAGGACAGATTCTTAGACAATGTTCATGTACGTCTGCTCTGTCTTTCATAATATTACAATATTTATAATTATATGGCTCAGTGTATTTATTTTCTTTAGTTTCTGTGTTGTCCCCATTCTGAAAGGGAGGATGACGTGCAGGCTGTTTGAGCACAGGTCACTAGATGGCACTGCAGAAGAAGACTTTGTGGAGCAGAATAAAAGTTTGGTTCCATGTTCCCTCTTAAGTTGTATGCAAGCTTTCTGTATGCAAACAATTATCCTTGTTTTCCTCTATAGACTTGTTATATCACTCAGGAAGCATTCTCAGCTAGACCTCAAACTAGTTTCCCTGTCGGACTACAGCGAATAGCCCAAAAACTGTGTAGGTTTTTTTGTTTGGTGAAACTTGATCCTATGAAATAAAGAATTGTCTAAATGATAAAAGGGAGCAGGAGTGTCCACAGCTTCTAAGAGAAATAAATGTAAACTTACTTGCTCCCACTCCTTGAATATAAAGGTTGGCTTGTTTCTGGACTGTCCAAATTCTCCATCCATATAGCTTCCTATTCTAGTATATCACTTGGGCTGGCAGAAGGAAAATATTTGTTTGTGGTTCTTGATGTAAACTTTGAAAATGCAGTCCAGACAAAATCATAGTTCAGAATATCAACCTTGAAATATCTTACATAACCATCTTTTATCATTTGCTGTATCAAACTGAATATCGTGACATTCAGTGGCAGTATCTATAAAGTCTTTAAGTAGTATTGAACTGGTCCTCTGAGATACGGAGTCAGCGGGAAGCATCTTCCTACTTAGTATGTGGTAATGGGCTATCAGAAGTAGATGGAGGGGAAAAAATCCCTAGCCTTGTTGGACAAGCAGTTCTTATATATAATTTGTATGTCTCCAGATGTGACGTTAGGGATGATAATGATAGCAATAGCCTTCATTGCTACCTATCTGTCCCCAGTTCAGTTGCTAAGGGACTGTGGAACAATTGTCCAGTGTTACTCTCTGAAATCAACCCTGCAGCCATGGTAACACAGTGCCTCCCATGCCCAGCCTGCAGTCAATCCAGAAAAACAGCATGGTCAGTGGCATTTTGTCAATGGTTTTATTATTATGTAAACCATCCAGAGAGCCACGAGGCTATTGCGATGGTATGCAAAATGTTAAATAATAATAAAGCAAGCTGGCGAGCAGAATTCACAGGATCACACTCACCCTGTCCATTAGGGAAACAAGGCTGCTCCAGTCCCGTGACCAGTTGAGATGCAGACTAGGATGAGAATCCGTCTGCTCCAGAAGCTCTGCGGTTGATTTGCCACGGCCCCCTCAACTAAGAAAGAAGTATTTGCAGCTGGGTAGTTGTTGTCAGGTGGCATTGAGCCCAGAGTGGGTTTCTCCAGGAGTGGTGACACATCTCCCTCTTTAAGAAAAGTAGGCGCCATCCCTTCAGGCAGATTTTTAATCACCCTTTGGACCCACTGCGGTATCCTCCTGGCTAGCTATTATTAGCCAGGAGGTGTGTGGATCAAGAGGATACTCGATGAGCTGCATTGCCGCAAGTGCCTTCTCCGTGCCATTCGGCTGCAGGAGGTGAAACTGATCTGTTCACTGATTGATTTGGAGTGAAATTTATTTATTGATTAGATTGATATTCCAACTTTTTCTTTTTTTTAAGAGCTCAGAGCAACTTACATCATTCTCCTCCTGATCTCAAACTTATCCCCACTACACCCCTGTGGGGTAGGTTGGGCTGTGAATCTGTGATTGGCCCAAAGCCACCCAGTTGGCTCTGTGGCTGGGAGGGGACTAGAACCCAGATTGCCTGAGTAACAGTCCCACACTGGCTCACAGCTGTGCATCAGAACGATCCGTCATGTCCAGAATTACATCATACACCACAACAATGCTTGCTTACCAATAACACTGTTATCAGCTGTGTTACTGTCCAACTATATGTGCCTTGGTATGTGTGCTGGGGCAATAAAATGATGACCAGACATTTTAATTTAATGTAATTAAGAGACACAGTCTTTAGCTGCATTATTTCCTAAGACACTGGCCTAGACACATGTTTAGTAGAATGTTTCTAGCTCCCATTGTCAATCTGGACTTCTGTTTTGGAATCAGTCCCCATCCATAAGATGGAAAAAGAGGGAACACCTGGCTCTCAGAACACATTTGCAGAAGTACACACAGAGACTAAGATGAAGTAGGGGAATTTTTATTAATTAATTTATTCATTTTTTGGTGCAGGAATGGTTGCCAGGAAATGAGGCCAGTTCCCTATTCTTATATATTTTCAGAGTAAGGGATGACAAGATTGCAAATTAATGTTTCTTTGGTTCCTCTACCAAAGATACATCACATCGGAAGTATCTGAAGATACATCACATCTACCAGTATATCACATGGATAGGAAATCTATATATATGGTCTTGTGGTTTTGGAGGTTTTGCATCATACAAACAGAAGCAATGTTGTCTAAAGTACCATGCTGGCGGTCCCTTCAGGAGCTGATGGCAAGATTAAAGATCACATAGGCTTTTAAGGGAGGTATTGATCTCCCAACCAGTTCCCATCCCAGTTTTGGAGGACCTTGAGCACCTGCAATGGCCCCTTCCCTTGATAAGTTTTTCTTCTCATCACTACTGTCACCAACTACTTTGCTCCTCATCTATTTGGTTATCCTTGCTGCCACTTGTTTGCTTGACAGGCAGCAAGCCAGCAAATAAGCCAGCAGTGGCATCTACTGCTGCTCCTCACCACCTTCTCTCAGGTTTTCTAGCCCAACCTGAGATAAGGTGAGAAAACAGGTTGCAATGGCAAAGAGGAGCAACTCAGGGAAACTTTGGGTAGCAGGCCTCTGCTGGAAGTGGTCCTTCAGCTGGTGCCCAATCATGTCTAGCTGCTGACCCTCTTCTCAACCCACTGGTTATATCCATCAAGCAGAAAGATGGCTTGCTTTAATTTAATAGCTGAGTTTGTTTCTTTGGTGAGCATATATAGCTGGGCAGTGTTTCTTCCATGGGTTTTGATGGCTGGTGACAAATAAAAGTCTATATAGATTTTGATACCAGAGTCAGCAAACACCAGCAGTGACTATGGTCAATGACTCCCTTAGTTCTTCCAGTCCTCAAACCCCCCGTTTTTCCCTCTCTAGAAAGCTGCCTTAACACAATGTGGCACTATCACACTTCCTCCCTGATTGAGTGGGTCCTCTTCTCCCATTCTCCATTGCTGGCTGTGTTATGGATGGTGGCTGCACAAGCTTAGAATGTTCTTCTACCATTACAGCTCCGATATAATCAACAGAGGGCAAAGGGAAGGAACTATCTGCCCACCTCTCAAATTTGGCCATAAGCAGGTTTTCTGCAGTTGCACAGGATGCAACATTTAGTTTGGAGAATTGGTCAAACCAACACAGTGGGGCTTTTTCCATACTCATTTTAAAACCATCCACCTGAGCAAGCTACCAGTTGTCAGGTCCTGTTGCATCATCCTTGTTGGGCAATCTCATTCTTGAGGCAAGGGCACTGTGAGAGTATGCTTTGCAGGATGGACTGAGGGCCTCTGCGTTCTTCCTTTGCTAACGAGCATTGGGCTCCATAGGGCAATAGAGGCTTCAAAAAGTATGTGCATGTCCATTTTCCCCTCTCCTCACTCCAATATTATTTTCCTGCACTTACCTTTTCTGGGATTGTTGTTGATACAGTGAGTCCAAGGATCCCCCCACACCTTTGCACTCATCATCTAAAGTCACTTGTCTCAATTTCCCTCTGAATGTGGATCATTACTAAGACCAAGAAATGTGGGTCCAAAGGACTGATATTCTGTGTTGTTCTAAGGATATTTTATCATGACCACCACCAGTAAATTCTGGTTTGTAGCCACAATCTTTATGTACCTCGTCCTCCCCTTTCAGTTGCATGAGTTGCTGACTGCTAGGAATTCAAAAGGCGGCTTTTCTGTGATGCCATGTGGCTTTATTATATATACAAAGACTGCTCTGTTGGCATGATGCTAATGCACCTCAGTGCACCCTCCTACCATCGGTTGATCTTAGGTTCAAGACGGTCTGGTATCCAGGGTTCTGTAACCTGTCCACCTGTGGTTCTACCTTTGCTGACCTGGCTCTCCTCCTCACCAGCCCTGTTGGTGAGCACCTGTTGCCATTGCAACAGAGGGGAAAGCAAACCCCACAACTCAGTTGCTCAGGAGTCCTCCTTTACTAGCCAACCAAGCTCAGATAGGAGTATATAACATCCTCCAAGATGGGAGCCCCAGTGACAAAGCATCAGCACACAAGCAAATTAAGCAACATGCAAGAAGGTAAGTGTTCTCCGCTCACTCGCTCTCGCTCTCTCTCTCTCTCTCCAGGTAATCATCTAAAACTCATAGATTATCACCATAAGGCAAGCGAAGGACACACCAAAAGGGACAGAATCCCAGGAAAAGAACCCTTTAGAAACAACTTAGAGCTGGGAGCTAACTCCTAGTGGGGAAATCCAGAAGAAAGTTAATAGTTCCTGCAATCTTGCTCAAGCAGAGAGCTTATATTTAAACCCAAGCTTAGAAAGGGGAAAGAAAAGCAATGCTTGATACTGACAAGAGCCATTTTGTAGGCCTAGCTATAGGCCTAGTCTGCAATCAAAAAGTGAAGGCCAGCTTCAGCTTGGGTTCACTGTAAGCTTAGGTTTTAGGGCTTATACAGAGGCTCACAAACTAAAGCTCAGAAATAGAGATATCTCAAGTTTGAGAGTCCAGGTTATCAGTCTTAAAATGCACATGCATAAAGGAACAACTCCCTTATGAGGAAAGGCATTAGCCATAGCTGCAGCCACTTAGCTTAGAAAAAGGCAAGGAAGAAGAGACACGTGAGGGATACATAATTATGCATAGTATGTAGAAGTTGGATATGGGGAATTTTCCACCCTTTCCCTTAGTATTAGAACCTGTGGTCATTCCATGCAGCTGAGAGATTCAGGACAGACAAAAGGAAGTACTACCTCATACACTTAAACTATGATATTCATATCTATGAGATGTAGTGATGGCCACCAAGTGATGGCTTTAAAAATGGATTGGCCAAATTCATGGAGAAAGAGGCTATTATGGCTGGCTATTAGCCCTGACAGCTACATGCTACCTCCATTATCAGAGGCACTATGCTTAAGTCCACCCATGGCTAGAGAATTTGGGCAGGAGGATGCTATGTATTACCCTCGCCCTGCTTGTAAGATCCAGTGGGCAGTTGGTTTGTCACTCTGTGAACAGAATGCTGGACCAGATGGAACCTGGATCTGTTTAAGCATGATTCTTCCTATGTTCTACCAGGCACCCAATGCAATCCTTTGTATGGTTACTCAGAATTCATTCCCATTGTGGCCAGTAAGGCTTACTTCAAGGTAAATATGCATAGGTTGGCAGTGTACACTTGGTGCAAGCATATGCACTACCAGCGACAGCTCCAAGTACAGAAGGGCTAAACAACTAGGAAATTCCAGCTAATACACTGTTTGAAAAAAATCCGCTTGGAATTTAAGAATGCAGTATGTTGTCCAGCTTGGGAATTTCCCTTAACCAAATGGAGAAAGTCGGCCGCGCAAAAATTCCAAGGGGGGAAATTCCGATGCCTTTTGGGAAAAGGATTTCCCCGCTTGGACAGAGAGAAATGCAGAAATACGCATTAACTGGATCGTCTGCAATTTGGGGCGGGGCAACAGTGAACAGACAGCGTGCAGCTTCCCAAAAGAAGAAAGCAGCTTTCTCCGCTCCGTTTCTTGTTTTTCAGTTAAGAGAAAAGGAAACAACGCCCACCCCAGCCGGGTTAAGGCGGCGCCTGCTTCCTCCATCACATGACCAAGAGACAACGTCCCTCAGAGAAAAGTTGGTGCTGCGCCTCTTCGGAGGAAAAGACGCTAGTCTCTTGGTCTAGGGTCTGCCTTTGCTGAGAACTTGTCTGAGCAGGCAAGCGAAAGAGGAGATGCCGGACGGCTGCTGCCACACCGACTGCGTGGAGCGACCCCTGTCGCGCGCGCTCGGAGCCCTCGGCGCCTTGGTGGGCGCCCACCCGTGGCCCTTCCTGCTGGTGCCGTTGGTGCTCTCGGGCGCTCTGGGCACCGGCTTCATGTTCCTCTCCAAAAACGAAGACAACAACAT